AAGATAGGCAGCACCAGTGGTTTACTGCTGTTCTGACCTGGAGTGCCAGGTACTTCAACAATACCACTCAGGATGTGGTTATAATGGCAGATGGCTTTGTAAGTGCTCAGTGTGAGCCTGAAAAGAACTCTCAGTTGTTTCAGAACGTTCTTTTCATAATGTATCTTCTTGTTCAGATAATGAGACCTAAAATGGCAATAGGGTTTACAATGAATAGCAGGAGGCTAACTTCAGGTTTAATTTATTTACTAGAGCAGACGTGTAAAACCCACATGCTTTTCATGAAGTACTCTATTTAAAGCCTAAATTACAGGATTCTTCTCTATAGCACACTCCAGACAGTACAGACAACAAACAATAAGGTAGGCTGGAGGCCACACCAGCCAGACTGTCAGGCTTCGCTGGTTTGCCAGGTCAACGGCGGTAAAACCTTTTTTCCCCATTGTCGACAGCCTCTCCTTGACCGCTCTGTCTTCCCACCTCGTGCTTTCCCTGGAGAGGATAACGCTTTGTGTCTGTCTGCACATAAGCACATATGAAACTAGCACAAAACAAGACCATTCTAGAAGATGTAAAAAAAATTAAAAACCAGCTATCTCATGAGAAAAGGTCGTTCCTTCCCTATGCTACTACAGCTCACGTCTTGTACTGCAGAGTAAAGAGAGGAGCTTTTGACCCGACCCAGTTAAATCTTACGCATGTGCCTGTTGACTCTGTACAGAGATCGGATTGCTTTCAAGTGAACAGCTCTATTCATGCACACATCTAAGCTAACGGGCAAGCTTTTGCTGCATCAAAAGCCTTCAAAGCTGTCAAGTTTGATGGCGAAGCAATAAACAGGACTGTGGGAAGACAGGGCACTTGTGATAAAAAGTGGAAGTCTGTGCTGTACGACTATCAAAAAAGAATCAGAAGTCCAACCGTGGGGAAGGACTACAACTATGGATACAGTATCTTGAAGCAATTGGATATAAAAAAGTAATCAAACTAAAATGTTAAAAGAGTCTTCAAAACATTCTAATTTGTTTATTTGGGGTTTTTTTCTGTGACATGCACAATAAACACAGAAATAAAAGAAAGTGTTTAGAATGGATCTGTATGAGTAGCACTGCAGTTGGAAGCAACAGCACCGTTCTGGAAGATCTTGGCTCAAGCCAGGGAGACATCCCGCACAGACCATTTTCACTCGGGGGGGGAAAAAAAAAAGCATATATGACAGTATCACTGTTTTACTTCAGCTTTGTCAACTGCAAGCAGCCTGCAGTGAACACAACTGCCCATGGCAATTTTGAAATATTGCAGTTCATGATCACTCGGTATCATAACCAATTTAACCCAGCTTTTGTTTATTTAAGGAGATACATAGCTCCCTCTACACTGAGATGACAATAACAGCCAGCCTGAAAGCCAGCATTTTATTGGCTCAAGAAGCAGCATGGTTAGATTTATGAGGCAATGTTCAAGAAGAGCCTTTTTTCGATGTTTTTTAATGATTTTTAATGAAGATTTTTAATGACTTTCCCATAGACACACTACAAATGCTGTATTTTATTTTTTTTATTTGATTATTGTGAAGAAGAGTAGGAACTTCAGGGAAAATTAAAGTATTCTGATACATGAGAGATCAGACCCCATTCATTTCAAGGGCTACATTCCTTCCTGTTTCTACAACCCAAGGAGGAAATTCATTTACTGATACGAAACTCCTTCAACAGCCAAAGGATCACTTGACTTGAGGAAGGACCATGTTTTTGTAGAGATGCTCAAAGTTACTACTATGATCAATTTTCATCACACATGTACAGACCTGCAGAATTAATGAGTCCCAGCCTTTCTGCAGCTGAGTTTCCTTGCTGATGACTCCTGCTCCTTGCCCTGCTACCTCCTCCTTTCCTACCTTTCTTCCTCGATCCCCAGCCCACAACCACTGTCGACTACTTAATTCTTCTTACCAGCATTAGCTGTGTCAAAGAGCCCAGCAGCTAAAACCTGTCAGTCTCAAACTGCAGCTTTTCAGAATCACTTCTATCCTCAGTCGTGGCATGACAATACAGAGAAATGCACCAGGCAGGATTATTAGCCTGGGTGCTGCGCTGCTCTTCACTCTCAATGCTTCTCAGCAGTTACCGATTACAAGCAAGACATCTAGTAAAATGGACTGCAGATCATCCAGGAGAGACTCATTTCTCAAGGCATAATGAGAAATTACAAAAATTAAAAAAAACCCCAAAACATCAGAAGGAGGGAAGGTGCTCAACAGCTGTTCAGGCAAAGAGAAGAGTTGACAATAATGCCATGTGTGGGAAAGGCAGCAATATTTGCCTTTCACAGTATTAATTAATACAGCTTTAAAGCAAACAGAAATTTCCCTGAGATTGTCAGATGTTTGCTGGTTGCTCAGGTGCTGGTTTGGGTTTTCATTAACATACACAAACATCCAGAAACTGGTTTTACCAGGCACACAATCTAGGTAACCAAATTCTAAATCTGTATGTTGCAAGTCTCTAGACATAAATTTGTTCAGTTTTACAATTTTCACACTTAGTGAGGCTTTGAAAAGAAAGTATAAATGCATGGACAGACAGCACATTTGGTTAGCAGAACATTCCCTATCTCAGAGAACATGTATGCATAATACTAATGCACACTATTTTAAATCAAATGAATTGTTATAGATACGGATAGGATTTTTATACATTCTTTACACTCTCAAAAATGTAATTTATTTCTACAACATCTAATGTAGCTGGATGGAGCAGAAGGTCTTAAAAAATTGTTAATTGCCTTCAACAATTCTGTATGTATTTGGTTGTCCAAGCGAACAGAGTAGTGTGGCATACAGCACTGTGTACACCCTTGATAGAAGGGATTGTAAGAAATGTGAAACTATAACAAAAAACCTTAATATTTTCTGATTTTTAGTAGTCTTTAGTACTGTAACTTGTATTCCTGCATGCATAGTGATCTAACGATGTAACCGTTACACTAATCCCTGTTTTCTCATTAAGGAATGTAGTGGAAGGACACAGGCACAAGCTATTACTTAGTCATTAGAGAAAATAATTAAGTGAAACAAAAGTGGTCTTGGTTCTCAGCAAATAATTGGGATAATTGTGGGATAAAAGAGACTCCTAAATAATTCTGCTCCAGACAGCTCAGCCTTGGGAGGGCAAATGCGCCAAGCTACAAAGATAAGGAGGCACCAAGAGGGCAACAACACCAGAGCCAAACACCCTGAAGGACATGATGTACGTGATCTTAGAACTGAGTTTGCACAGAAACGAATGTCAATCAGTGAACAGCATGATGAAGAGGATGGGCCTTCATCTTGGGACCCCCAAAGACCACCCAAAGATGCTAACAGATATATGCTAATTAGTTCCTAGAAATATAATGAATATTTACATGTGTGATTGTATTTAACCTGAAGCAACAGGGTGTCTGGGGTGTGTGCCGTGTGCCCGGCGCCGCAATAAAGAATACCTGCTTAACAGCATACATTGTACTGTTAGGTTTTTTCCTACCGGATCTTCGATCACCCTGTGCACATTCTTACCAATGTAAATAATTCCAGCGTTAAGTACAACAGTAGTTTTTAATACAGTTTGTTTAATACAGTTTAACAGTTTCCACTGTAAGCCTGGAAAGTGATGAAGTTAAGGACTTCTAAGACTTGATGGAAGAGGAAGCAGAGGAAATTAAATGCTCTGCAGTGCACAGAAGGTTTGACGACCAGATCTAAAATCCCCCTTGCTGTAAAGGTCATTTGCTCCAAAATGCCTGTTACGTACACCACCAAAATCTCCGTATTAGAAAGTGTAATATCTTGCAGTAAAAGCACATCTAACTAGAGATACCTTGAACTAAGACTCATTTTAAAAAACCTGATTTTCTGTACTTACCTTTAAATTTGGTTCTAAAAAAAAAGGCCTTTATTTCATGAAAATTGTTTACTGTGTTAAAAAAAACCTCATACAAATGTAGGCAATGTGACTTGATTTCTTGGCTAGCCAGAGGTCAGTGTCAGCCCCATGTGTTTGCAGCCTGTTACAGTATTTATTTATTGCAGTTCTAAATAATTTACTTTACTCATGTATGATCAGAGGTACAGCTGTTAAGGGCCACAGTTCAAACCACTGCTCAGCGTGGTTTGAGTCACGCTGAAGTATTTTAACCTCAAGGCCATGAAATAGAAGTCACAGATTGCTGTTTAAGATAAAGGCTTATCCTCCAGGCCAGGCTTGACCACTCAAGAAAGGATACACTCATTTATGGAGCTGTACTCGACATGTTGAAAATAAAACGCCTCACTAGTAACATGAATGCGCAACCTCTTCTGGAATTTATGCCCAATAATCATTCCTGCGGCGTTCAAATTACAACTCGTGGGCGTGATAAAAGAATTTAACAACTCTTCCATTCCGCTTTCTCCCCCC